TCTGATATTCCCTGCTTTCAGCCAAGATCCATCTAACATCAACTACAATATCTCTAGTACCACATCCCCTTCTAAACCAGATGAAATTATCAAGGGAAGAAGTGTAGCTGGAGAATATGAAAATAATTGAATCCAAGGATACTGGATTAGTAAGATAAAATTGAGTGAGGCAAAGGCTATGATTGTGGTGTTATAGGCATAAGATGGAAGGCGAATACTTGACAAAATAAGGTGAAAATACAGAGGCTTGAGTAGAATTGGGCAAAAAAGCCATGTTGTATGGAACACTAAAGGATGTTTCAGATGGAGATTATTGAGGTTGGAAGTACTTAAGTTTGGATTTTGGGAATAGTTGGTCCTTGTTGCTTGAAATTCCAGTTTCTAAGCACACCCATGTTCATTGCTGCCTTGTTCACAATAGCGAAGAGTTGGAAACAACCCAAGAGCCCAACAACAAACGAATGGATAGAGAAGATCTGGCATATTCACACAATAGAACACCATGCTGCATCGAAAAACAAGGAACCCATGAAATACTACACAAAATGGATGACTCTGGAGGACATTATGCTGAGTGAAATATCTCAGTCACAAAAGGACAAATACTGCATGGTGCCACCGTTGCAAAACAGGACTGACATAGGGATTGAGGGAAGAGTGAGGAAGGAGGGAATAAAGAATGTATACTGCATTGAAACAGATGAGGAAGAGAACTGTTTAAAAGGGATATTTTGTTGTTGTTGTTGTTGTTATGTGCCATCTAGTGGCTTGCAACTCATAGTGACCCTATGTACAAGAGCCCTAAGTGCTGTTCTATCCTGTGCCAACATCACCATCTCAATCACACTCATTCCCACCACTCCACTGACAGAATCGATCCATCTCATCGAGGGTCTTCCTCTCCTGTGCCGTCCCTCCACTCTCCCAAACATGGTGTCTTTCTCCAAGGACCAGTCTCTCCTTGCAACATGCCCAAAGTATGTCAGACAAAGCTTCAGAATCCTTGACTCCAAGGAGCATTCTGGCTTCACCCTCCCCAGGACAAACCTGTTTGTTCTCCTAGCAGTCCATGAAATATTCAACATTCTTCTCCAGCACCACAGCTCAAAGACACGAATTCTCTTTCTGTCATCCCTATTCACTGTCCAACTCTCTGATGCATAGCACATAATTGCAAAGTCTCCAGCCTGATGTCGTTGCTCTTCAGTACTCTTGAGAGGTCCCTCACAACTGACTTTCCAAATGCAATTCTCCTGATTTCCTGGCTGCTGTTACCAAAAGTGTTGACTGTGGAACCAAGTAAACTAAAACTGTTAACTGTGTCACTCTTTCCACCATCCATACTGATGCTGCCAATT